ACCCAATGAGCAACTTTAAGAGTAATACAATCAATTAGAACCTCCAAGCTGCCCACATTGTCCAACAAACCACTGCCCTTGTACATCTCAACAAAATCCTACCTCTTTTTTTTTGTGTTACTCAAAACTGAGGGGCTAAACAGTCCGTCTGGCAGGACGGTTCCACCTACAACCAAAAGGAGAAAAAAAAACCATTCCCAAACACAGCAAACAAAGGGACAGGTGATTAAGAGGTGAAAAGCAGCTTCACCACTCAATTTTACACAGAAAGCACTAATTAGGAGATAAGGCCCAATTTGGTCTTTTCCTTTGCAACAAATCACAAGTATTTATGCACCCATGGAACACTTGCCAGAAAAATGCACTGACCTTTGGAGGAATAGGAACACAGTAGATTTCTTTCACAGGGAAAGTGGGGGGAGAGGAAGCAGAAACAAGAGAGCTAAATAGAGATTTACAAGAAAAGTAACCAGTAGGGGAAAGGGACCACCACAAGCATCCCTCCCATCATTAACAAGGATCACTGACTTCAGAACACTCAACAAGTTAGACACCAAAGGGATTCCAGACTCTCTCAGATTTCTGGTAAGCCCCAAATTCCAATTCAACCCAGAAGAGGAAGGGTGAGGTTCAGTAAAGTCAACCACAGGTTAACCTTTGAAATTGGAAAGGACAAAGAGGGAGAGAAAGACATCTTTCAAAGGGGAATCACCCACCCACACATCTTCCCAGAATCTTATTTTACTACCAGAAGCCAAGTCTACCTTACATGGTTGAGGAAAGAAGGAAGAATGCCATGAATTGCTTCCCAAGGTGTAGCCAGAGTATTTCTTTGCAGACATTCTGCATCCCAGCCATTTCTTGACATCCCATGAATACTAGCCACCACTCTATGCCATAATCTCTCACTTTCCACAGGGAAACACCAAAGCCATTTGCTTAGCAATGCCTTATTTTTCATTCTCACATTGCCAATCCCCAACCTTCCTTCTTCCTTTTTCTTAATCACCTTTTCCCACCTCACCAAATAATCTTTCTTCCCCTCCCCCGGTTCCCAAAGGAAGTCTCTCATAAGCTTCTCTATTCTTTTCACTATTACTTGAAGTAAACTGAGAGGTTAGCTAGAGTGAATTTGATCAATGTAAGTCTCCCTCCCAAAGAAATATAGTTCCTCTTCCATCTGGCCAGTCTTTTCTCAATTCTCTCTACCACTGGACTCCAAAAGCTAGCCAGTCTGGGGTTATCTCCTAGAGGTAAACCCAAATACCTTAAAGGCCATCCTCCACACTCACATCCCAAGGTTTTAGCCAAAGATCTAAGCTCTTCACTTTTTAGATTAACCCCTACCAGTAGGCTTTTGTTCCAATTTACACTCAAGTTACAAATTCTCTCAAAAAGATCGACCACCAGTTTCAAATTTGTCACACCTTCTCTATTCTCCCCATCACAAAAGATCGAAGTATCATCTACAAATTGAAGGTGATTAACAAGAACATTGTCCCTTCCCACCAACCACCCCTTGAATAACTACAAACAAATAGCTCTAGATAACAGCTTACTAAGGACCTCAGCCACCAGTGTAAAAAGGAATGGGGAAAGAGGAACCCCTTGTCTTAGGCCTCTAATCCCCTCAAAAAAATCAACCACCGATTCATTAACAATTATTGAAAAATGACTTGTTTGCAAGCATCCTTTAATCCACTTGACACCATAGTTCTCCAAATCCACCACTCCTCAAAATGTTGATAAGGAACTTACAATCCACTAAATCATATGCTTTCTCCAAATCCAACCTGATTGCAACTCCCCTTTTCCTTGATCTCTTTTTAGCCTCAGCACATTCATTCGCAATTAATATTTGATCCACAATCTGTCTCTCCTGAATAAAGGCCCCTTGAGATTAGGAGATAAGTGAGGGGAGCACCTTCTTGATTCTTAATGAGAGCACCTTAGCTATCAACTTGTAAGTGCTAGTAACCAAATTGATTGGCCTGAAATCTCTCGGGTGACAAGCATTGTTCTTTTTTGGCACCAAAGCAATAAAGGTAGAATTCATTCCTCTATTCATTATTCCCCTTCTGTGAAACTCCCAAAACACTTTAATCAAGTCCGCTTTTATTATGTCCCAACAATCTTTATAGAAGGCCATTGTAAACCCATCAGGCCCAGGAGCCTTTGATCTGTCCATAGAAAACACTGCTTCCTTAATTTATTCTTCCTCAAACCCCCTCTCTAAAAATTCCACCTGATGAGCTCCCAAAGTATTCCAATCAAGACCTTCCACCGACTATCTTTCATTGAGAGGCCTTCTATATATAGACCTGAAATGTTCTGCAAAAGCATTAGCTATCTCTCTTTAATCTGTTATCTCTCTACCACCCATTACTAAAGAAGAAATTAGGTTCTTTCTTCTTCTCCCATTAGCAATAACATGAAAGAACCTAGTGTTACCATCCCCCTCTTTGATCCACTTCTCTCTAGATTTCTGTCCAACAGATTTCCTCCCTCAAGAGGGTTTCATCAAGCTCTTTTTTCAAATTCCACCTCAACTCTCTGTCCCCTTCTCCTAATGACCTCTCCTCTTCTTTTCTATCAATATTCACAATTTGCAGAATCAGACTTGCTTTCTTTTCCTCCAACCGCCCAAATTTACTCTATTCCATTATTTAATTTCCTCTTTCAACCTCTGTAATTTCTTCAAGAATTTTTGCCCTTCCCACTTCAGGTATTGAAGCTGTATTTCCCACCACTCTCTTACCTCATCCTTGAACCCTAGATGAGAAAGCCACATATTTTCAAATCTAAATGGGGAGGGGCCTCCTAAAACACTCCATTAGAAAAGGCTAATAGGCCAGTGATCTGAGGTAATTCTAGGCAGAATCCTACCCAAAAGTCCACTCCAATGTTCTTCCCAATCCAAGGATACAAGAAATCTATCTAGTTTGGAGCAAATAGGGTTTGCCTAGATGTTTGACCATGTGAATCTGAATTGCCCAAAAGGTATTTCTTTTAGCTCAAAGGCTTCTATAAAATCATTAAATCTTCTCGTGTTGGTTGTCACCCTCTGTCTTGCACTGCTTGATTCACTGGCAAATCTAATAACATTGAAATCCCCCCCTAAACGCCAAGGTCCCTAATATCTGCAAGCTCCTCCCACATCAAATTCCTTTCCCTGTAGGAGTTTGCCCATAAAAATTCATCCTCAACATTTTTCAACTTAACAGATACTGTTAAATTTCCTATCAGCTCTTCCATGCACTGCACAGTTTCCTCCTTCCACACAGTTAAAACTCCTCTTAGGCACCCCATGACGGGGCACTACTACAGTTAAGATCCCTCTCATGGTATCACCCCAAAGACTTCTAATCCATCTCCTATCAACCTCCTGAACGTTGGGAGTCCTGGACCAACAGTATATCTGGCTTTTCCTTTTTGAGAATCTCCTTAATTGCCCTTCTTCTTGTTGCACTTCCTAGACCTCCACCAAACTACAATCCCCCTACCTTTCCACTCCCCTGGCACTGAACTCCCTATCCCCTTCAACATCATTAGTAAGTCTCTCTACTTCATTCATTTTCCTCTTTCTCTTCCCTACCGCTCTTTTACCTTTCCTAGCATAGAATTTACCGTCCTATGAATTTTCCATCTTAAGACCCATTCTGACAGCTAGTTCATCCACCAGGTCAGCATCATGGTTTAACTCTCTTTCCCGAGGTAATCTCTTCATTATTGTAAATCTCTTCCTTGTCCCTTGTAAACCACCTGAATTTTTTCTTTCCATTATTGCAATCCACATCTTCGTTTCCTCACTATAAAGCCAGTTTACAACCAATTGTTAGCCCCCTTCAACTATTAGCTTCCTAATGTTCAAAGCCCTTGCCTCACAATACATACATGAGCCTATAGCCTCAACTAAAGGCTCCATTTATTCTTGAGGTATATGCCTCATACCTGAGGCTACAACCCTTTTAAGCCATGGCCTCATTCCTACTTTCCAATATATCTAAGTTATATTTTCAGTCAAATCTAAGTCTTGAAGTCTTTTACACTATCTCAACCGACATTCTGCTTGGTCACTGTGTTGTCTATATGGGGAAACCTTGTATGACATACACAAACACACATATATATATATATATAGAGAGAGAGAGAGAGAGAGAGATGGATATAGATATAGATATATAGATATATAGATATACATATATATAGATATAGATATATATCTCTTTTCCTTTATCTTGTTAGAATAGAATAATCCTAGAATGGTCTCCTCATTTACTGCTAAAAAGTTCATCTGGCAGAAACCACATAATTTGAATCCTCCTTCCTTACATGAAACTCTGTAATCAAATAAACAGAGGTCCTATGATGATTGTTTTGTCATTTGAGATTTCTACTTACTAAGGGGAAAATGTTCCTTTGAAAAATGAAGCTCTAGAACAACACTTTTTCAGTTTGCTTTGATTTTTTTCTTTTTTTTTTTTGTGTGTGAGGGGGTCAAGATGGCTACAAAGAGTACTCAAGATTCCAGAAAACAAAAGCAATTTGAATAAAACTAGATACAAAGTCAACATCTATCAATCTTGGCACACTGTTTTCTTTTGTGCTTTTATGTTTTGGTTGTGAAATTTTAGTTAGAAATGTTTTGATTTATTGAGTACCTTAAAAGGGGAAGGAGGTGCATGATGGAAATAATTATTTGATCAGTTCCAACATCAAATTTCTAGGAAGAGGCACTCCATTTGGTTTTGTGAATGTATTTTCTAAAGTTAAATATGGAGTTATGACTTGAAGTTGATTTCCTTTTCTTGTTCTTTTTTGTCTTGATATCCATCATGTATGTTCCTCAAAAAAATCTCTATGATAATTATCATAACTCCCTCGGCAAAGAACGCAGAAGATAAAAATAAGTACAAGTTTATAACAATGAGGGTGAAAAATGAAGATAACATATGGCTACATTTTTAGAGCAAGAATTAGGAATGAGATAAATATGTAACTGCATCTTGGCCATTTTGTCAGGGTCAGCACTGGAAGGAAACTTCCCTAGCTCGACATCCATATTCTCTTCTTCCTCCTCATCCTCTTCTTCTTTGGTCTTTCCAGCAGTCGTTGCAGTGGATTGAGCTGCTGCAGACGTTGATGGCTGACCTGAGCGGATATTGATACCAGGGTCATCATCTGGAGCGTCAAAAGCAACAACTGTGGCAGCAGGAGTTTGAGTTTCAAGTTCATCGGGGGCAACAGGGGAATCAGGAAGGGACTCCTGCTCCTCCTCAAATGCAGCCTCAAATGGATCCTTTGATTGCTTCATTTATTTTCCCTAATTGCTCTTCAGCCTTTCTGCACTGATACAAGGGTATAGTACCAGGAAAATAATTTAGGAAATCGAGAGTTGAAACTATATAACAAAAAAATGCATGCAAAAAATCATCAACCTGCCCGTTCCATCACAAAACCGCACTACAGAAACCCTTTTGAAGCATTGCAAATATTATTTTCAGTCCCTTCATTCAAAGGCTTGTTTCAGTACACTAAAAGAAAAAAGAAGATAACTAACCAGTCCGGAATGATACCAGGGTGTTAATTCGGCACTTGGCAGAGGTTATCATTCAGATTTGCTCAAAACTTAGAAAGTGGGAAAAATAGAAAGATGTTACTGAAGATTTCAGAATTCAAATAAAGAATTGAAAAGTCACTACATCCCTTAAGAACCCTAAACAGTATACAATATTGCTTCCCTAGTCGAAGCGAGCCAGATAAGAAGGAAGAAATATACCTGGTCGAACCGTCAAGTTGAGAACACTGCTAATTACTAATCTTTTAGTTTGAGAGCAGAGACCGGTATCTATTGTTGGTTTGCAGCAGTGGATTTCAAATTTGCACCAAAACCTATTTTGAGAATTGAGAATTTTGTGATCTTACAGAGTTTGACAGTTCTGGTCGTTCAGCAATTGAGAGATTTTAAGTTTTTTAACAGGCAATTAAGCATCAGAAATTGTCAGGTTTGGTAGGTGTTGGTTACAGACTTACGGTCCAATCGGAAAATCAGTCTGGCTTTGACAAAAAAGTGTTCCGACTGGTAATTACCACATACCAACCAAGCTCTGAGAAGGCTGAGAAAGTGAGTAAAAGATTTATTGGGAATTGGTTTCTCTAATAAGAGAGAAAGAGGAAGAAAGACGGTAGATGGAGGAGAGTGAGGGGTGATAATGAAAAACCAAAAATCTAAGCAAAAAATTCGGTTAATAGTTTAGTATTTTTCTAAAAATCGGTTTTTGATTCAGTTTTGATCAATGTTCAGAGAACCGGACCTGGCATTGACCCGGTAAAGGCAGAGGTTCACGGGTCAGAGGTCCTACTGGGGTCGAACCGTGCTGATGTAATAAATATATATAATAATAATAAAAATTCAAAAAAAATACTGAATATGAAGGAAAATTAATCCAAAATAGAAATAAGTCAATAACACTTCAAACTTTCAGAGTTTGACTAAAATTACCATCACAATTCACAAAGGCATTTCAAGAATATCAATTCAAAAATTACAATGCATACATGATAAAGTAAAACTTATTTCAATTTTCAGCTATTTTAGTATTGCATTATCAGTATCACAAATCACAATTCTAAATTTAATTTCAATTTTCAGCTATTTCAAAGGGCTTAGACAATTAGGTAAGCTAACCTGCAAGACTGAACAACTAGTTGGAGACTCCACTTGGTGGATTGAAGTGAAAGCCCGAAGGAATGATCAAAGTCCAAACCTGAAGCAAAAATCAAGTTGGAATTTCATGAGTAATTAAATAATCAAGTTCAATAATTAAAAATAAATAAATATCAAAATTTTAAAATTTAAGTGTAACTAAACTGTAAACTAGCTAATCAGTAATGAATATAGAAAAATAAATGTTGCAGGTTCGGAATTTAGAAATCAGTGGAGAAGGAGGAGGAGGAGGAGGAACCAGCCGGCAGAGTTGGAGGGAGAGGGGCGCGGTGAACAGAGTCCACCGGCGGGAAGAAAAAGAAGAAGAAAGAGGAGGAGGAGAGGAAACCGGCCGGCGGATTTAGAAGGAGAGGAACGCGCGCGGTGAACAGAGTCCACCGGCGGGAAGAAGAAGAAGAAGAGAGAGAGAACCTGTGGGCAGTGCTGGAGGCGCTGGTGGTGGTCAGGTCAGGTCAGGTGGTATTAGGTTAGGTTTTACCGTTTTGAACAATCAGATCGATGGTTTTGATTTTGAGGTTTTCGAATTTGGGATTCGATTGGATTTGGACCTAAGGGCCTGTTTGGCCCAATTTAACAGTTTTTTGTCTTTTTGTACTAAATTTGAAAATGAAAAAAAAAAACGGCCGGTTATACAAAACGGGACCAGTTTTACGGTTTGCCGGTTGAACCGGCTGGGTGGCCGGTTATTCCTGTTTTTTTTTTACATACCGGTTTTGGGGGTATATTCAGACCAGCCAGGGGTCGGGTCACAGTCCAACCAAATCAACCGGTCGGTCCGATCTGGTTTTTAGAACATTGGTTTTGGTTAACCCAAACAAACCGGTGTGCGTGTATATATATAGGTTATATTTTATCTATGTGCAAACTTTCAGAGTCTATAACTTTGTTCTTGGTTGGTGATTTTTCAAGATCTATGCATTCCAAGGTATTGCAATTATTGTCAAAAACCTTTTTTATCTCAAATCCCAATTTTTAACATTTTTTACAAATAAAAAATATAAATACAAATTACACTAAAAATAATACATATATTACATGTAGAATATAATTATACATATTTAACTGTCAAGCTCGATGGTTCTGTAAATGGATTGTTAAAATACATCTTTGTTCTAGGGTTATTTTTAGTCTTTTCTCTTCTTTAAATCAATGTTTTTTGTCTCTATTTTCAAGCCTCTGTATATAGGGGTAGTATTGTAATTTTACTTTTCATTATGAATTAAACATACAGGGCGGTAGTTCTCCCTCTCGATTTGAGACTGTGAAGCCCTATTTTGTTTAACTTCTTCTTATCCTCTTCTTCTTCTCCATCTCTTCCCCTTCTAGGCCCATATCAAAAGTTTCTTTTTATTTATTTAATTAAATATAGGCCTGATAACATGGTATCAAAGCCAGGTTGATTGGTTTTCTTGACTACATCAATGAAGGACACCTAAAACTGGTTCAGCTAAAGTTTTCTACTAATACGAGAAGGAAAGGGAAGAACCCAAAAGGATTGATCGCCCAGAAGGTTAGGAGGCTTCTATGCCTCAAGTTGCTTTGTTGGTTGATTGTTTGATGGTGTTTTAGATCCCCTCTACTCGGCAGTTCGAAGAGGGACTATGAATGTGAAGTTCGGTTGATTGATGTATGTGGGTGATGTGTTTGGTGGGTAGTTCTCTGTGAACTGTGAGGTTAGTTGACTCGTAGAAGGAGATACTTTGCTGATGTTCCAGGTTTAGGAGTTGTGGCTATGCTGTTGAAGTTTCAAAACCATTAGATAAGTCGGTTGAGTGCAGATGTCGAGTCGAGAAGGTCTTCATCTTAGGAGAGTGGTGCAAAAATAACTGATGGCAGCTTCTGGTAGTGAATACAAAACAAGTGTGATGGTACAACCTAATTTCATGGTTGTACAAATGACGTCGGTTAAACTTAATGGTACCAACTACATATCAATGGGCGAAGTTAGTGGAGGTAAATTTGACGACAAGAGGAAAGTTAAAATATATTAAAGAAAACAAACTAGACCCAGGAACTATAGGGTATAATGATTGGAACTAGGATAATGCATAGATTATGACACGTCTTTGGAACAGTATGGACCTCATATCAGTGTGAACTTGATGTTCTTTGATATTACGAAATAAATTGGGGAACATGCTAAGCAGTTGTATTCTAGACAAGACAATGTAACTAGAATCTATCAATTGTATCAAGAGTATTTTCAACTATAGCAAGGTGATAGGAGTGTGGAAGAGTACTATGCTTGATTGAAGAGTTTGCAGAATGAGTTGGATTCATATCAACCTCTTTCAATTAATCTTAAAGTGCAAAAACAACAGAGAGATCAGTTGGATGTGGCACGTTTTCTTTCCAAATTGAGGTCTGAATTTGAACCAGTGTATGCCCAGATTTTAAGTAGCAGTGACATGCCTACACTATCAAAAGTTTTCTCTAGAGTAAGAAGGGTTACGAGTCCACATACAGATAGCTCTCTAGTATTAGAGAGGTCGGCCCTAGCCACAACCAGAGGTAGTAGAGGTGGCTCACATGGTAGAAGTAGCTCTCCCAAAGGGAGTAATCATGATGCGAGAGGAGGTTGCAGTGGTGGTAGCGATGGGAATTTTAGAGGTCATGGTGTTTGTGTTGCTGGTCGAGGAATGATCAAAGAATGTAGCTATTGTGGACGGGAATGACATACTGTGAACTATTGTTATAATCTGCATGACCCACCATCTACTTAGGCCAATCATGCTACTGTAGAAGGAGACAGTGGTACTACAGGGGATGACTCCACTGCTTTAGGTATTGGGAAGGAGAAGGAAATGGTTTCCATCACCCGAGAAGAGTACGAAAAACTTTATCTGTCTTCTTCTTCTTCTTCTGATAATACTACAACTCTTGCAAAACCAGGTACAGCATGTCTTGTTTCTTATTTTAAACCATGGATTATTGATTTTGGGGCCTTATAACACATGACTGGGTCCTTAGACCTATTTGCATCTTTATCCCCTCCTCTACCGCTCAATCGGTTACTCTAGTTGATGGTACTACCTCCCATGTTTCTAGTACCGGTGATGTTTCTTTACATTCTGGTTTCACTTTTTCGTCGGTCCTATATATTCCTAAATTTCCTTCATCTGTTAGTAAGTTGACAAAATCTTTGAATTGCTTCATCTCATTCTTTCCATCATATTGCATTTTTCAGGATCTCGAGACGGGGAAGATGATAGGTGGTAGGCATGAAGCTGGAGGATTGTATTATCTTGATGGTGGTGGATCACAAACAACTCTTCATTCCTCTATTACACCATTGCAGTGGCACTTTCGGATGGGTCACCCTTCTCTTCCAGCTCTCAAGAGTCATGTTCCAGAGGTTGTGTCTATTCGTGAGTTACAATGTGAAGTTTGTCAACTTAGTAAACACCATCGTGTCTCTTTTGTTCCAAGGAAATCTACTAGAGTCTCGAGTCTTTTTGAACTTATCCATTCAGATGTTTGGGGTCCTTGTCTAGTTGAATCTGACAATGGTTTTAAATATTTTATTTCCTTTGTTGATGATTTTTCAAGAATGACTTGGATTTATTTAATGAAATTTCGTACAGAGGTGTCTGATATATTTCTCTCTTTTTATGCTAAAATTAAGAATCAATTTGGTATCTGTGTTAAATACTTTCGATCTGACAATGCAAAAGGATATTTCCAACGCCCATTTCGTATGTTCTTTGAATCTCATGGCATAATACATCAACCATCCTACTCCTCCACTCTACAACAAAATGGAGTAGTTGAGCAGAAGAATAGACATTTACTTGACATTGCCCGGGCACTTTTCATTCAAAATGTTAGTTCCAAAAAAATACTAGAGTGGTGTTGTTCTTACTTCTTGCTTTCTCATTAATCATATGGCATCTCCCATGTTAAGTGGCTCGTCTCCTTTTTCTATTGTCTTTCCTTCTCAATCTCCATTCCCTTTGCTTCCGCGTGTCTTTGGTTGTGTTTGTTTTGTTCATCACTTGGGGCTGGCATTGGATGAGTTGGACGCTCGTGCTCTTAAATGTGTCTTTTTAGGGTACTCTTGGACCCATAAAGGATATAAGTGCTATAGTCCTTCCCTTCAGCGCTCCTTTGTTATTCCTAATGTAACATTCTTTGAAAATGTTCATTTCTTTTCCTCAACTGAGCCTACTTCTCTTGATGCTCTATCCCCACCTCCTCTTCCCTTACCAATGGAGGAGGTGTCTATGCCTGCTCCTGTTGTTCAAGAGTCAATGCGACCACCGATCCATCAAGTGTATGCTGATGACCCTCGTGGTATTGTGTTTCAGCCTTCTCCAGCTTCATCTCAACCATTAGTGGCTCCTCTGTCAATGGATTCATCTCATTTCGATCTTCCCATTGCGCTTCACAAAAGTAAGCATGCTTGTACTAAACATCCTATATCTCGTTATGTTTCATTTGCCCATTTATCTCCATCCTATTGAAATTTTGTATCCCTTCTATCATCTATGTTTGTTCCTAGATCCCTTTAAGATGCTCTTCTCTCTCCGGAATGGAAAATGGCGATGGATGAGGAATTTCATGCTCTTCAATCTAATCATACTTGGGACCTCACTTCTCTACCTCCAGGGAAGAAAGTAGTTGGTTGTCGGTGGGTTTGCATTGTTAAGCATCTTACCGATGGTAGTGTGGAGAGATATAAAGCACACTTAGTAGCCAAAGGGTATACATAGACCTATGGTGTTGATTATACTGATACCTTTTCACCTATAGTTAAAATGGGTTCGGTCAGGGAGGTTATTTCCTTGGCTGCACACTTTGATTAGCCGTTGTTCCAATTGGATATTAAAAATGCATTTGTTCACGGTGACCCAAAGGAGGAAGTGTATATGGAGCAACCTCTAGGGTATGTCACTCAGGGGGAGGAAGGTAAGGTGTGTTGGTTGAAAAAAAATAATTTATGGGTTGAAGCAATCTCCAAGGGCCTGGTTTAGGAGATTCAATAGTGTAGTACAACAGTTTGGGATGACATAATATAGGGTTGATCATTTAGTGTTCAGTAGAGATACTACCTCTATGTTGATGACATCATTACCATAGGACGTGAGCATGGAATTGAAAAGCTCAAACGGTTCTTATAGAGCTAGTTCCAAACTAAGGAATTGGGCACTTGAAATATTTTATGGGCATAGAAGTAGCAAGGTCAAAGTGGGGAATTTCTCTCTCACAAAGGAAGTATGTGCTTGACTTGTTGGAAGAAACTAGTCTTTTAGAGGCAAAGTCAATGGATACCCCTATAGATTCGAATGTGAAGACGTCTGATAGTGAGGGGGAGCCCCTACCTGATCTTGGACGGTACATGAGAGTAGTTGGAAAATTGATTTATTTAACCATTACAAGATTAGACATTTCCTTCAATGTTGGATTATTGATCCAATTCATGTAGAACCCAAGCACAATCCATTGAGAAGATATTGTTAGAGTTCTACGTTATTTGAAGGGTGCTCCAAGTAAAGGGTTGTTGTATAAGAAAGAGAGAGAGCTTTCCTTAGAAGGATACATAGATGCTGATTGGGCACGGTCGGTTATTGACAAGAAATCAACAATTGGTTATTGCACATTTTTGGCAGGGAATTTGATTACTTGGAAAAGCAAGAAGTATAATGTGGTGGCCAGGAGTAGTGTTGAGGCCGAGTATAGAGCCATGGCCCACACTACATGTGAGTTGGTGTGGTTGAGACAATTGTTACAAGAGATGGGAATATCAGTCACAAACCTTATGAAGCTATCTTGTGACAACCAGACAGCCATTCATATCTCTCCCAATCCAGTGTACCATGAGAGGACCAAATACATAGAGGTGTATTGTCACTTTGTTAGAGAAAAGGTGATCAGTGGAGAAATCATTACCCCATACGTGAAGTCCAAAGATCAACTAGTTGATTTGTTTACCAAAGGCTTGAATGGTGCTCGGATGAAATACATTTGTAACAAGTTGGAGTTGTATGATATATATGCTCCAACTTGAGGGGGAGTGTTAAAATACAACTTTGTTCTAGGGTTATTTTAGTCTTTTATCTTCTTTAAATCAGCGTTTTTTTGTCTCTATTCTCAAGTCTCTATATACAGGGGTAGTATTGTAATTTTAATTTTCATTATGAATTAAACATACAGGGCGGAAGTTCTCTCTCTCAATTTGAGACTATAAAGCCCTATTTTGTTCGACTTCTTCTTCTCCATCTCTTCCCCTTTTAGGCTCATATTGAAAGTTTCTTTTTTATTTATTTAATTAAATACAAGCCTGGATAACATGGATATTTAACATTTTTCATTGTCCTTTATAAGTAGAATTGGGTTAATTAAACTGAGTTGAACCTTATTTAATAGTGTTTGGATAACTGAATTGATCAATAAAATGACTCAGGCCAATAACTTCATTTAAGGACATTATTGCAATTTAATAAAAAAGTAAAGGGATCTTTTATGTTAACTTATTCACTATTTATCCATTCTATTTAGTAATCTAATGATATAACCATTGCACTAATTACTTAACATTTTTTTTATTTTTCAAAAAAAACTTTAACATTTTGTTAAATTAATTGATTAATTATACTTAACTGAAATAATTAACTTAATAAATACAATAATTATTTAATATACTTAACTAGATTATTTTACATGACTAGATCTTAGGTATATTTTTAACTAATTAATTAATTAGTTATTTTGGGTTTGTTTTATGTAAACCATACTCAAATTAGGAATGACAATTTTCCCCACCCTCGCTAGGTACTTGACCTTCCCAACCTAACAGGGATGAGGATAGAGACTACCTCGACATGGACAAGGATGGGGATGGAGATTAATAAGGATACCCTAGAATGAAGTCCTTGCCCCGCCCTCGACTCTCTCTCTCTCTCTCTCTTTATAGTTAATTAATTAATTTAGACTAAGCTATTTTAAAACTTTAATTATTATTGTGAAATTAACATTAAATTAATAAGTTACTTTTGTTAAGAAACATAATTAAGTTAGTCGTACTTGCCACTTCAAATGGTGGTTTCTAACACAAAATTGCATACTCCAGTTCCAACCATTGCAAGTCTTGAATCCTTGACTTGAAAAAGGACAGTAAACCCTAAAGTGAATTATCAAATAGGCTTTCAAGACAAAGTTGTCTTTTTTATTTCTTTTATTTTTTATCTAAATTAATTTAAAATAATTTTAATTGAAAACCATGATTCAATCGCCCCATGTCAACGATTCTTTGACTATTTCAACGTTTATTTTTCAAGATAGCAAGTCAGGGAAAAAAATGAAACTAGTGACCTGACCAGTTTTCTAGGTCAAACGGTTCAATCATGCAAATCAACGACAGTTTTAAAACCACGAGATCAACCATCTAAATTAACATAATTTTAAAAGATAGATAAAAGCAAGTACAAAAAAAAAACTATTTCTCATTATGCATATGATTACACAAGTAAAACTGCATGCACCCCGAAAGCACTGACACCCATTGGCACATTGAAAACATCTCCCCATAAATTCAACACACATGTACATGACATACTCCCAATAAAATTTGGATTTGGTCCTCACGAGACCATCCTCACAGCTCTTTATAGCCATGCATGCATGGGAACATCTGCCCATGAATAAAAACATACAAGTACAGAGTGAAGATGATTTTTTTATGGGGAGATATTCCCAATGCATGGCTGCAAGAGATTGAAAACAGCTTTGCAAGGACCAAATTTGAATTACTTGCAATGTGCAGGTGGTTGCTTAGTGCTTTCAAGGTGCGTGCAGGGTTTTGTCAGGAGGGAATCCGGGCTCTTGAGGCCAAACAATTTGAATTGGGATCTCCTGCCAATAGAACACATTCCACCGCCGCCAATGTATGAGATGTGCGGTGTGAGATTGTATTGATTGGGTGTTGGAACGTATTTTGTTGACAGGTGATCCGAACGTATTTTGCCATGGAGAGGAAGATTCTTTGGTTGAATCGACTGCTTTGCTAAATATGAGTGGGAGGAGATCTGAGATCCGCTCTCTTGTATCTTTGGTGGTACATCAATAACTTTTGCATGTGTAGTTTATCAAACAAAAACGTACTGATTCCTTGTATTTTTCTTTTGAACTAAACATAAAAATATATGATAATACATTAATTGGCAAGTTTGAAAGCAGCAACTACGATCTCAGTTCATAATTGTTGTCAATCTTGAAACTGATAACACAAGAATTAAGTATCTAGTTTCTAGTGGACAAGTAGAAGGGCATCGACATTCCGTTTTCCTTCTGGGCCCTTGGTGTACCACGAAGAAACGTACTCCCCATACACAACCTCACGATATCTGGGAAGAGAGGAGTTGTTGTTGAGAAGCTCGGCAGCTGGGGATATCTTCCTTGTCTTGGCAGGCTCATGAAATGTTGCCACTGAGAGGCGCGCCCTGTTCGCATTTGTGATTGCTCTATGCTCCGCACTTCTATACTTCCCGTTGGTTATAATCTACAAAGGAGCGAGGAAAGTAGGACAAAGTTTTGCAAAGGCAATCAATAGCACAATTTCTTCAACAAAATGCTAAAAATATTAAGGGTCCGTTCAGTCTGCAGTCGGAATCTGAATCCTTCAGAATCTGAATCAGAATGATTTATTTCCATAGTCATAGTCTGTTTGGTCTAGACAGGAATTGAAATGGTAAGTGGAATCAGCTGAAATGGGATTTCATTCCCAAAGGAGGCAGAGAGAGTGGCCATTTCCTCAAACGGGGAATACCATTCCACCAGGAATAGGAATGAGATTCCAACTCCACCCAACCAAACGTTTGGAATCAAAACCATTCCAATTCCAATTCCAAACCCCTATTCTCACAAGTCAAACGGACATAAGTACATGTTGCATCATTAGATCTACCCTATTATAATGATGAAGCCAAATGCTACATTGTCCTTATGAGCACGCTATTTGTTTCTGTTAAAGGTGTCAAGATCATGCTTTCTAATCGGAATCAAAATCCTTCGGAATCGGAATCGAAATGGTCTATTCCCATAGTCTGTTTGGGAATTGGACTCAGCAGGAATGGGATTTCATTCCCAAGGGAGGAGCAGGGAATGGCCATTCCCTCAAATGGGAGAATGCCATTCCATCAGGAATGGGAATGGGATTCCGATTCCGCCCAACCAAACAGTTGGAATTGGAATACCCATTCCAATTCCGGACCCCTATTCCTGTGAACCAAACGGGGCCTCATATTTCTGGATAAACCATTAGTTAAGAGACTAAAGAAAGGTGCTACTTCACAGAGATTTGGAACTTTCACAAGTGGTTGAGTCTTCAAATGAGTAGTTTTAGCAGTTTAGAAGTCCGCATTTAAGTGTCTTAGAAATAAGCACAGTTCCCTTAAGTGTCTATTGGTTGATTTTAAGTTGCTGTCTTTGTCTGATGTTGAATTCTAGCTCAATACTTCAACTACTATTGTTTCTAAAGTAACCTTATAGCATGTTGATTGTTTGTAGGAGTATTTATTTGCAATATTTTTCAAGTTTCACCGTCACTAGGAGTCCTGTGGATTGGAGTATGCAGAACAAGTTTTGACTTTGAATGGGATTAGAGACCTCCTTGTGCCTATCATCCAGTCTGAGAGTTTTGGCATTGTTGGAAGTAGTCAAGGGTTCAGTGCAATTTTCGAGTAGGAATGGGATTAGTGGTGGCTCCATTAGGAGTCCTGCAGTACAACTTTTGAGTATGAATGGGATTAGCGGTGGTTCCAGTAGTTTTCAGTCTGTGTAAGAGTTCTAGTCAATAGATAGAGGGGAGACCTGCCTATTGTCCACAGTGTTTTGGCATTGTTTGAGGCGATGTAATAAAGCTACTTCCCATAAACCGGCCCTCGAAGTAGTCAAGGGTTCAGATTTCAAACCTGTTTTTCTTTCCTCCTAAATCTTCTTAATTAGCTAGTAGCTATGCTTCAGCCTGCTACTTTGAATAGTATTTACCCTGAAGGATCTCTTACCCTGAAGGATCTCAGCTTTGATGTTTTGCTTCTGCTTAATTTTCTAGCCATCCTTAGGCTGTATTGTGATTGTTAAGGAAAAAAACTTTAGGCAAGATATGTGGGAGATTGCAAAAAATCATTCACCAATAGAAAGGGTACCTCCACAAGAGCAGAACTACTAGACACACTACATGGATTAAAACTGGCCACCACCACCAATGTTTTCATGAAGTGAGAGGGAACCTTGAAGAACACTATACCATGGCTATCAAGTTATCAAGTAACATATAGAGACCATGGAGAATTGAGACACTTGATTATAGCAGCAAGGCATCTGGAAAGGTGCCTTGAATGCATCTCTCTTGATGTAGTCTGCCAAAGAGAGGACTGATTCACTAGCCAAGGATAAGCAGATAGGGTGAATAGTGAATACCTCGGCAACAAATTACTTATTTTTCTGTATTTTTGGGGGCTCTAGGAGCAGTGAGGGTGATAAAAGGGATCTGCTCCACATGGAGATGGAGTATCTTGTACAGAACACATCTGTGTAAATACATATTGTACATTTCAGCATTTTTAGAAAAATTTTCAGTTACTGATAACAAAATCACCCACCCCCCCCCCCCCCAAAAAAAAAAGCAAAGAAAAAAAAAGCAAGGGGAAAATTTATTTCTAACTACACACAAGGAAATGTTTTGTTGTGCACTCACTAGCCTTTAATTATGTTTTATTCTGTATCCAAATATATTTAAACAGTATTATTACATTCTTCTTTAGTTTATGCAGAACTTGTATTTGAATGACAGAAAATCTGAGTTTCAATATTAATAATTTGAAGAAGATAACTCTTAAGTCATGAGTTCTACAAAGTTCAAACAAGACAGGGATCTACATGACATTTATAAAAGTTGAAGCATACAACTTAAACTGAAGATTTGTTTTTTTTTTTTGATAAATAACATCAATTCCATGATAAATTTCTAATAATAATTGGTTCATGATAAATTTCTAATATGACTTATCACAGCACTTAAATTTCTAATTAAAAAAAGTAGAATTTCTTAAAATTATCACAGCACTTAAATGGAGAAAAACAAAACCACTTAAGAAAGCATAGTGAACACTGATTGCTAATTTTTTATCTGGCAAATACTTCAGTATTAGATTTGGTTCATGATAAATTTCTAATAATAATTGATTCCTCATCTATAAAGCACTTCAAATTAGATTAAATTTAGTAGACCTTGTAAACCATGTTCAGATGAACATCCTTTTACTAAAAGATGACTATTGTTCAAGATTTTATTCATAGTTACATACGAATTTTTTTGTTGGTTTTATCCATATAAAGTTTTGTACAAGCAAAAGTTCAAAATAACCAAATACTAGCTTATGACTTAAATCCTATGAAGTATGAACTATGATCAACATACCAAGAAATAAGTGCATATTATGAAGTGAAATAATAGACCGACCTCCACAAGCTAAAATACAATCCATTTCACATAAAAAATTACTTAATTTTATAGTCAGAAACCAGAAACTAGGGTTTATATCCAAGAAAACCAACTCTAATCTTGATTTTTTACTTAGAATGTATGGAAGCATTTTCTGCCTTCATTAGGAATCAGTTGAAACTCTAACCTCGGATTTGCTTCTATTCTCAACCCACTTCTACTCCCACCAAGAGGGGAAAAATCCTCTGGAGGAACACAAAGCAGCAATGTTTTGTAAACTGGGCCAGCAATTTAACTGGAAGGGGGGGTCTAGTTCCAGTTTCATGGTTTAATCAGATGGTTCAGTCAGAAAATTTGCCAGACATGGGTGGTTTTAATTTATATGTACTGGGTCATGTATGGTCCAACCAGCGGTTCTGGTGTACTTTTCAGAATAGTGCATGGCAGTAGCATTATGAAGCACTTGGGAAAGAAAAACACGCAAACAACTTCAATGATAAAGTATTGGAACCACAACCAACCATTTAAATGGCCACTATTAAGCTGGTTTCCGAGTGCCTGCCAGAGAAGAATGCCAAGGAGTGTCTATGGATTCATTGTCAAATCTAACAAGTAGTATCTGGTTTTTCCCATCATGCACCCCCTTTAAAGTAGGTTTCAGAACTTCCAACACTAGGCATGATAAAATAGACCTTCGATGGGTACTCACTTGGAAATCCTGTGATAGGGATCGATCAGAACCCTTAAAGACTTATTCTAGGAAGAAGAAAGCCTTACAAGAGGTACTTGAGATTTGGACTGTATTGGGCACAAGGGGTATTTTATTCATTGAATAGTAAAATAGGATAGTACAGTCAATGATAGAGTCTGATTTTTCAAGTTATAGTTTGTTTGTGTTTAAAGTTTTTGAGTCATTGAATAGTAAAATAAAAGTTATTGAGTCTTCTTTGAATTGAAATAGGATAGTAGACTTTTGTTTTTGAGTCCTACTAGGATTCTTATGAGTCTAACAGTTTTGAATCCTAGGATTCTTATGAGTCCAGAGTCTTTAATATGTATGGACGTTTTACACAAAGATCAATGAAGTTTATTTAGTTTTCTTGAGCTTATGCTAATTATGGTGATTGATTCCCATACCCTATAGTGATTTTAGGTACCCCATCAGTGATTCCAGATATTCTCTCTCTTCTTTCTCTCTTTATTTTCTTTCTTATTCCTTCAAGAAGCCAATACAGTCGTAAATTTCTGATCAAGAAAGATCATTCAACCTTCTCAAAGGGCAGAAATTGAGTTGGTCCTACATCATCCTGATTCCTTGGGTATAGGAGTCTTGATAAACAGCAAGAGAGAGACCCAAGTGCAGTACTGGAACCCTACAGGGAAGTGTGTTTTGCGATCAGTTCAGTTGTGAGAAAATCATGGTAGATATGGATCTCCAAAGGTTTTTCCAGATGGGACTAGAGAAAATGCTGTGTAGTTCCCTAGTGTTCTTTAAAATGCAAATTAACTACTCTGACGTTGTCTGTCCCACTCATGGGTAAACATTTTTATCATGAATAAAAGGAAAGAAACTACTATGTTGCTAAAACATCGTCTATTGGCCTTGTTGACGTTTGGTGTGGCTAAGTAATTCAACAGCCTCAATTACACCACCAAAACTGCTACATTTATCTTTTGGTATGAATGTTGTAACAGTCACAATTACACCACAAAAAACTGCTACATTTATCTTTTGAGATGAATGTTGTAACAGTCACAATTACACCACCAAAAACTGCTACACTTATTGTGACTTCTCCACTTCCCTATTTTCTTCTATAAAAGGGGTGCCTCCTAGGGGTAGTATGTGTATGGAGAGAGAGCATTAGAAGGCTGAAAAGATTGGGAGAACTTCACCATCTTCTGACAAGATCTGCTCYTACTCTGTTTGGATCGTTCTTCTTCTTCTCTGCTGCCATTAAGGGTTTCTCTCACACCAGCTCAAAGCAGTCATCTATGCCCTTTTTTGAGTGCTCCAAGGCTTTGTTAAAGGCATTTCGGCACTAGTAAGGTGGTCAGTTTGTAGTTCTCTCATCAAGGACATGAATAAACATGTTTTCTTTCTTCTCCCGTGGATGTAGGTCTCTTTGACCGAACCACGTAAATCTGGTGCCATCTTTACCTTTCTTTTGCTCTTATTATTTGCTTTATAATTCACATWTTCCTCAATTATTTTTTCTTGTTTGCCATACTAATTAATCGGTAATTCAGAGTTTAATCCTAACAAACTAGTATCAGAGCATTGTTTTGGGATTATTTACTGATTAATTTTGTTACTAGTGGCATCAATGAAGTTTGACATTGAGAAATTTGATAGATCTGTGAATTTTGGTCTATGGAAGCTCAAGATGAGAGCAATTCTGATTCAGAACGGCTTGGAGAAAGCCTTGGCAGGGCAAAAGAAAAAGCCTGAATCCATGTCCGATGAAAAGTGGGAGGAGATTGATATGAAAGCCATGTCGGCTATTCATTTGTGCTTATCGAACGAGGTTCTTCGTGAAGTTGCTAAAGAAACCTCTACAACAGAATTGTGGCTCAAGTTGGAGTCACTCTATATGA